GGCCCTGAATCACCTTCATTGTGATCTGAGTCTGCAAAGCAAAACCATCCGACAGAGTCAGAGCTTTACATTTGGCTTCTTGGAAGATGCCTCTTTAATGAAATTACTTATTCAAGTTAAGCATTATGTTTGAGGGTGGCCAATACAGTTTAAATATTACAAGGGCGTTGGCTCTTCTAACAGAAGTTGGAAGTGGCCTGTTATGAATTTACTGTTTGATGAGTGACAAAGGCCAGGTTTCACAGACAGGGCTTAGATTAAGCCAGAATTAGGTCTCAGTTCATCCAAGTAGTTTTTGTAACAAGATATTTTAAGACAAAACAATGGCACTGACATATTTTAATATGTGTCAGTGGAAGATGCTTTCTGTTTAGACAGCTCAAACATGCTTTCTAGTCCAGGATTAAGCTTAAGCCTTGTCTGTGAAACCGGAGGAAATTATATTATGTGGTTTTCAAATTGGATGTGGGGGTCCCTTGCACAGGGATAATTATATATGGGAGCCGTGGCATCTAAAAGATTGAAAACCCCTGGACTAGGGAATGTGTGACAAATTTAAGATGTTTTGAAGCATTTTCATAACTTACAGGATCGACAAATTCAGAGTTGAGTCCATAGCAAAGTTTCTGTATGCGTGATGTGATTTTGTCGAACATAACACGCTCCTGGCGCCCATCTGAGAGAACAAAAAACATCAGATGAATAAAAATGATTCATTTATTTATTAATGAACATTTATTAGAGGATCCATTTAAAATATTAAGTCAAATATAATAGCACCCATAGTCAAGAATACATGAACATGATATGAAATGCAAATAAAGACATGAAATGTGGATAAAAATATGCTGCTCGTGAGTGTGTCATTACAACTTTAAGCCATTATAACCTGTCACTTGACGATAATGTTAGTATTTTTAGCATTACCCGCAATGACCTAGTTAATAAAGCGGTTGGCGCCAACTTAAGAGTTAACAAAGAGAACAGCTAGTCGGCTGCTAGCAAAACATATTGTCAAATATTAAGTTATGTAGTTGGAAAAGTCAATTTAATAACACACGGGAAATAATTATGCGATCTTATCAAAGACTTCAAATCAACTCAACAAATTTAGCGTTACATTCTTCTCTTTACGTGCAGATATTGAAACACGATTAAGGTCAATAAATGTTTGTTTTGCAGACCTGCCATCATTGTAGCTATGATGGGAACTATTCAAAAACAGTAGTTACTACTTTGTATAAGCATTTAAATTATACATTTTTGACTATATATTGCAAATGAACAGGTACTTGGAGGATGAGTGGTACTTTACCTCGCTTGATCACGTGCATATTTTCGGTATCTGGTAGAGAGTACAGCACCAAAAAAAAAAAGCACAAATAGTAGCTGATATTTGTAGATAAATTGTTGTTCTGCTGGCCGGCCTCTCAGCTGCTCCTGCAGACAGTTGTTATGAACAAATCCTGAGCGCGAAACACAAACCCGCCAGAAAGCTCTTCGTCATCTTCCGGAACAAGAATCTTAGCCAATGGACTTTCGCTCCTTCTTCTTCGTCGTTTTAAAATTTATTAGACAATGGAAAAGAGTGATGTAACATTATAATCGTTACATAAAACGTCATATAACTTAACAGCTGAAAATACCTACGTACAGGGGTGTAAATTGTACATTGTACAGTTAAAGTACAGTAAATAATGTCAAATGTTTTTGAAACAAAAAAAACATGTTGAATTGCACCAATAGAGTGCCGAAGTTACGACGTCACTTTGTAGGCCAAAACGCGGAAGTAAGTTAGCATTTTAGCACTACGGTTCCCTCGCTCTAAAGCCTATTGGATTTTTGAATGGGTTTTTTGCTAAATCGCCTGAGGTCTGTGGTGAACAAAACCTCTAAATATTTTTACGTTTTGATCTATGACAGAACACACAGTTATAACCTGCTTGTGTTTTTTTTTTTTACTTTATTGTGTCTGATTTTATTTTTTAAAATCTTAATATAGGCTTCAAAATGCATACATTTTGGATTAACTTGTAAAGATCTTGCTAGACAAAACGTGTAAGGGTCATAACCCTTTGTTAAACACTGATCTTATTTTTTTTTTTTTTTTTTTTTTTTTTTTGCGATTTTCCAAAAGTCTATGGGGAAAATGCATTGGTTTTCGACGCTAGCTTCCGAGTTGTCCTACAAAGTGACGTCATCAATTCGGCACTCATGCTTGCATTTTAATCCATTGTATTTTTAAGGCTAGCATTTTTATGGGCTGAAATTCAACATGGTTGAATATTTAAGCAGTGAATATTTCATTAAAAAACATTTCAAACATATTTTCATGATTAAAAATTAAATAATGCATATTCACTTTCATATTTCACTTCCAAAATTTTCAAACTGTTTAAAAATACAGTCTATAATATTCAACAGGCAATTTTACGGTCCATTTTATTTCGCCTTGAAAATTCGCTTCCACAAATTCAGTGGTTCAAATTCGACGAGGGAACCCATGCGCCGCTAGTTTCCGAGTTATCCTACAAAGTGACGTCATCACTTCGGCACTCTAAATTCAACGGTGACGTCTTTCTCTGGTGACGTCAAAGAACGAGAGTATATGCTCGGTAATCTATTGCTTTTCCTGCAGTTCCTGGGCGTCACGTCGAATTTGAACCACATTTCAGCCCATAACAATTCTAGCCTTAAAAATACAATGAATTAAAATGCAAGCATGTTGCATTTGTGTGTCTGATTTTTTTATTATTATTATTATTATTTTATTATTGACAGCATTTGCAGATACAAACAACACATTCATACATAAATAAATACATAAATAAATAAATAGATAAATAATAAATAAATAGATAATTAAAGTACATACATGAATAAATTATATCCAGTGGGTTCTGCAATGTCCAGCAAGGCTAATCAACAAGCAGTCCAATTCATATATGGGTTCCAATTTCATTCACTCACACGATGTCACAAGTTTTGAGTAGCACAGTCTTCAGAGCTTTACAGTTCTTTGAATATCTTATGGAGTCCAAGTATTCATTGACTTCACTCTCAAACAAGGAAAGAAGGGTTTAGAGCCCCTGAACTGACATTTATGGATGTGATATTTAGCGAGTAGAAATAAAAGATTAATAATGAAATACTTTCCTTCCTTGTCCGTCTTAAGGTCGACCACACCAAAGAAAACATCTTCAAAGCAAAATGAGAAATCCGTAACGAAAAAGGTTTGGATAAATTCAAGGACATCTGACCAAAGTTTTTCTGAGTATGAACATTTCCAAAATAAATGGCAAATATCTTCATCTGACCTTTTACAGAAAGAGCATTCAGATTCAATATCTGGTTTATACCGCTTAAGCACACACTTCACTGGGTAGAATCTGTGAATTAATTTAAACGTAACTTCTCTCACTTTATTAGTATATTTAAAAGGCAAAGACCAAACGTTTTTCCAAGGGACATTCTCTACTAACCTGTTCCAATATGGGATTATATAAGGAATAGAAACAATTTCTTTTTGGTATAAAGCCCTAATAGTTTTATTTTTCGTCACTGCAGAAAAGCATTATCTCCCCACAGCAGTATCAGATCAATCCATATTGTGAGTCAGTGGCCATGGGAAATTAATGCCTCCCAGCAACATTCTGATACCAGAAGGAATTGCACCAAAGACAATTGCATACTCCTTAACTGAAACAGGAATTTGACATTTCTGCAAGAACTCTGAATAACTGTACAGTCTGCCACTTGTGTCATAGAGTTGGCCAACAAGTACAATATTATTCCTGTACCAGTTTTCTAAAAAATAAAGATTTGTTTTTGTAGAGAATGTCAAGTCAAGTCAAGTCACATTTATTTATATAGTGCTTTTCACAATACAGATTGTATCAAAGCAGCTTCACACTGATAACATGAAAGTAGCACAACACAGATCAACAACATTGCTAAACACTAAATAATCCCAACTGAGCAAGCTCAAAGCAAGCCAAAAGCAAGGCGACAGTGGCAAGGAACCAAACTCCATCAGATTGGATGGAGAAAAAACCTTGGGAGAACCCATGCTCAGTTGGGGGCCATGTTCTCCTCTGGCTTACATTCATATTGTTTAAATATAAATATTAAATATAAATATTGTTTATGAATAAAACGGCGCCATAACATATCGCAGGCGTTGAGTCGTCTCTTCACAGGCGTTGAGTCGTCTCATCACAGGTGTTGGGGCATCCGAAATCCCTGTGGGAGGCTGGACACAAAACTGGGCCTGACGAACGCCATTTTTCTCGGGACAAGCGTCCCGAGATAACAGCAGAAAGGCAGATGGGAAATAATTAGCATAGCTGATGTTCATAATGATTTCCGTTTTAACTCACAAACTCTCCGTAACCTGAACTCTCCGCAACCCAACCATACGCGCCGACCCGTTTGTCTAAAAGGCTGTCGAGCCCCACTGGTGCGTTAACCAGTTTCAGTGGCAAACGGTTCCGTATGGCATAACAGAGGACTAGAAGGTAAGCATTATGTGAATGCTTGACTAAAGAGAAGCGTCTTTAATCTAGTTTTAAACTGTGTCCTGTGTCTGATTATTGTTGCCGTGACTACAGAGGTCAGGCACACCTGAATTAATCAATTTGTCCAATAATGGCAGACAGGAAACAAGGAGTTGGCTTAAGTTCAGGACAGGAAGTAGTGCAGCTGTGCATAAAGCCAATTTCATTTGGTGTCAATTGGTGCAATTCAACATGCTTTTTGTTTCAAAAAAACATTTGACATTATTTTACTTCTTATAGAAGTTCTGGTTTTACCAGAAATTGTAATTCCCTGATGGAAATAGCTGCATATCTATATTGTCATCATGCAAGTACAGATCATGTTTGAATTATAAAGCCCGTAATCTCTAAAATTATGAAGCTCCTATTAGAATTTGAAATCACAAATAAAATAAAGTAAAATATTTTCATTATGTTCAGTTTTAGACATGTTTTTTGCTCAGCTCAGTATTTACTTGTAGAAAACTGTTTTGTACGAATTTTTGATGTAATCACATCCATAAATAAATGCATTTAATAATAAATATTTATGTTAAAGTTTATGAATAGGCCTACACAAATAATAGACTAGAATATATTAATACATTTTAAATGAACAAATAAATAGTATTTGTAAAAAAAATATTTGATGAAATTGTATTATGTCTGTTGTTGTATCCTAGGCTACCAAGCCACGACACACTGCGGTTTCCTGCTGTTGTAGCAAACTTGCCTGCAGAAGTGACTTCCTGTTGAAATGAGACGAATACGCTTTATCACTTGTCTAAAACGACAGTTGAGAGTCATGTCAAAGACAGACTGAAAGCGACATATATGGACTGATAAATATTAAAAAGAATGGAGGATGGGAATGACTCGACAGTGTTCATAGGAGGGGCAAATTATTTACGAGTTTACCTGCAGGAAGGTGAGCTCTGTGTGCGGAACAGACTCCGGCGCCTCCCTTCATCGACTGTTCCTCCCTCCCCCCAACCAAACCGAGTCCGACGGTCCGACCCACCAACAACATGGATCATTGCAGTCCACCTGCTGCGCCTTGCAGTCAAGATTATTCTATCTTATTCTAAGGTATCTATGAAAGGTCTCTAGAACATTGCACTGTTTTAGAGTTAACCAGGATCCTCGATGAAACCATTAAGTGAATAGCGAGCATCAGAAGAAAAGCGCTGGGGAGATGCCAAGTGAGGAGGAGGCGAGAACAGCACCTGGAAACAGTGTGAATGTGAACGCAGCACCTACAAGAGAGGTACTTACTAATACTAGTAAACGCAAATTCTTATTTTACACGAGTGTTTTTGATGTTATTTGAGTTTTGAATGAAACTTGGACTCGTTTGAACACTATATTGGCTTGCTGGTTTGTCGAGGTAACACAACCCGTCTGCTCTCATTCCTGTTCATGACTGCATTTCACCACGGTTATGTCGTTTTTTGTTGTTGTTAAAGTTAGTTCAAAAAGATTCAAAAGTTAGTTTGTATTTTTATATTCGTGTTAAGGTAACTTATAGGTAATAAAAAATGCAAATTCTACCTTCATTTGGTTCCATAAATGATTTGCTTTTTTTCCCACACAAAAGGATAATAACGGTCACTATTCACTTTTTTCTTTCCATACAGTGCAAGTGAATTGTGACTTGTATTCATTTCTCTTTATCACTCCCTTGGTAGATAATAAACCAATAAAAATAATCATTGGAAGGATGAGGATAGGATATAAGCTAAGGAAAAGTGAATAAAGATGACAACTGTGATTACAAAATGTAATGTTGGTCTGTCTGCATACCATAGACAACCTAATAATACATATTTATATGATGAAAAATGCCTACAAATAATGGCAGTTACAGCCTCCCCCTTATTCAGTAGTGTGTCATCCATGCACTTTTAGCAATCAAATGACTTCCCTTTTATCTCACTAAAGGGTTCATACTGTAAAAACCAAACTGACCGTTAGTTCCTCATCCCAGACTTTAGTGAAATACAGAACAGGCTTATAGAGCACAGTCTTCATCTGAGAAGAGAAGTAATGCAAACTAGATAAAAGCGTTTGTCCAGGCACACTTTGATGTTGGCTTAAGAAAGCAAGGTGAAAAGTTTGAAGTAGTTTTAAAATATTGATGTTTAAGATTTGAATAGTTTGAAGTAGCATAGCCCATATTTGATTGAATAGTATTGAAAAAATAAAATTTTAAGGCCAGGTAGATATTTTTCAAGGGTGGTTGGTTCAAAAGATCTCTGAGTGGACTTAGTCATCTTTATGTCTTTTGATATAATTATTGAAAGAAAAGGAGGTGTGTTGATCTGTTTTATGGTTGTGTTTGATCATAATCTTTGAATGATCCTCTTGGCAGAGTTCAGGACAGCAGAACGGGTCTTCTCGCGATGCCGTCAGCCCCGTATCCCAGTCCCAACCTGAGCATCAGCCTCCATCCTCTCTATCCCCAGCACCTGCTCTGCCTCCCAGAGAACAGTGGGGTGGCAAATATGAATTTCTTCTTTCCTGTATTGGCTACTGTGTTGGCCTGGGAAATGTCTGGAGGTTCCCCTACCTCTGCTACCGAAATGGAGGAGGTGAGCGACCTTAAATATGAAAAAAAAAAAAAATCTGTTGGGATGAACAGAGATTGTGGATCATTTAAGTTGTAAAAAGCTATACTCAGTTTAAATGTGTGGTTCATTTACCATTATATGGTGAAGATTTGCAGGCAATTTCAATAGACTTTTGCCCCATAAAAGTTCCCGCATAATTTTGTGAATGGGTCTTTCATGGGAAAACCAGGAAGTTTGGTAATCCTAAACTGAAATCCATCCCTCTGACCAACCAACCAAAACTAAAACCCTTCCCTGTAGTAGGGAGGAGTGCACATTCCTCTTTAAACCTCTGAAACAAATTTGCCTGAACCAAGACAACCTCAAAAAAAGGAGGAAATTTGCAATGTAAAGATGGTTAGTAATACAGAGGAAGACACCTGTTCAAGGATTGTGGGACTAGGTAATGTAGAAAAGCACTGAGGTTATAGGTTTTAGTACCATAGTAAATTCTTAAAGGCGCCCTTTTACGAAGTCTTGATTTTGTTTTGGGGTGTACCAGAATATGTTTTCATGCTTGATTGTTCAAAACACACATTATTTTTCACATATTGTACATTACATCCCAGTCTCGAACTAGTCATTTTGAATGAAGCCCCTCCTTTTTAAACAGAATATGTGCTGTGACTCGTCAAAGGTTTAAAAGACTCATGAAAATCGTTGACGTTTTGGAATAAGATGGGTGTTTGAATCGAGATTGCGATCGTTTAACGATTAATTGTGCAGCTCTAACAAACAGTGATGTTTCAGTTCTGTTCATGATTAGTTATAGAATTATCAGGACTTTAACATGGGCATATATAATCTTTATTTGGCATCATCATCACATAGAAGAGCTTTTACATCAATTAGACTAGCTTCTTAACAGTAAATCAGATCATTTATATATATTTTTAAAAAATCACAGCTTTCCTGACAGGATGTTTTCATATCCATAGGTAAATATATACAGTGTTTTTAAAGTTCAGGATTTAATGTGAATGTATAAATTATGCAGATCCTGAGGGGAAAAAACAAAAAAACATTGACAAATGCTGGTGATTTAGGAGTGTGGAATCACTGGCACAAAAGACATAATTTGTGGCTATGGCTCAGTGGTTGGTGTACATGCTCTAACATGTTGAGCTGTGTCTGACTCATGCCGTTTAAAACAAATATGAATAAGAATAAAAGTGTTTAAAAGGCCAAACATTAACATTGACAACGAAAATTCAAATGTAAGCATTTGGCAGATGCTTTTATCCAAAGTGACTTCCACTGCATTCAAGGAATACATTTAATCAGTTCTTGACTTTCCCGGGAATTGAACCTATGACCTTGGCATTGCTAGCGCCATGCTCTACTGTTTGAGCTGTTATAAGTTTGTGGAATAGAACATTGACTGTTATCCTGTGTTGGGTTGCAGGTGTGTTTCTCATCCCGTACTTCATCATGCTTTTCTTCACTGGAATGCCTCTCTTCCTCATGGAGCTCAGCCTGGGCCAGTATGGAGCTGCAGGTCCCATTACCGTCTGGAAGTGCTGTCCGCTCCTCAAAGGTACCACAACACATGCAGTTTAGCAGCTTCATTATGGTTTGTAAATTAGGCTGTGGGTTTGAGTTCCAGTCATTATTCAAAGTCGTGTAGCTCCACTTTGCATAAGTAATAATAAATAGTCCCTCTGTATTGTAATCATCAGTAATTAAATACAGGGCTAAACGAAAGGAGCTGATTGTGTTGTCTTGGCCTCGTTGCAGGGATTGGCATAGGGATGCTGTGTGTGTCCATTCTTGTGTGTCTCTATTACAATGTCATTATCGCTTGGACATTCTACTACCTGGGCAGCTCTTTCCAGAGCCCTCTTCCCTGGTCATGTGATGCTCTTCATAACATTGCCTTTTGTGGAGTAAGTCTTACTTTTCTGCTCAAAAGTTAACATGAAATGCTAAACAATTGTAATTTGAAGCCTTATAGATTGCTGCCTATCACCTGTGTTACCAATTTTTCTCTCCACAGAACAAAACTAATGTCACCCAAAGTCCCTCTGAGGTCTTCTGGAAGTAAGGATTCTTAATTATTCTTTTTTTTTTCTCAGCTTCTCAATATTAATTTACTAAATTAGTATGTAGGTTGCCTTCTTTTGTAAATAAATATAATTGAATGAAAAATGATTTAAAAAATACCATTGATTTTGAAACTAGTGTATATTAATATATTAACTGATGATCCATAAAATGTGCACGGTTATGACATGATTTGTAAGCCACTTCATTTATTTTTTGAGTCTCAGTAAATGTTGTAGCTTGTAAAAAATGCTAAAAATTACTAGTCTTTAATATAAAGCACAAGCTGAACAAAATTGTCAGAACACAGTGTCAAATTATATATACAAAAGCGACTTACAAATAAGAACTAAATTAAAGCGAGTCATCGTGAAGAGGCAAAAACAACATTTCTCAGAAGGGAGCTGCTCTTTTGAATAAATGCTGTTCATTTGGACTTGAATGTATCAAATATTAAGCAGCACAACTGTACAGCATCAAACAGCATCAAATCAGCATATTAGAAGGATTTCTGAATGTGACACTGGAGACTGGAGTAATGATGCTGAAAATTCAGCTTTGACGTCACAGGAATAAATTACAAAAATTTAAAATATATTAAAATACAAAACAGATCATTTAAATCGTCACATTATTTCAAAATACAACTGTTAATAAATGCAGCCTTAGTAAGCACAAGACTTCTTTGAAAAGCATTAAAACAGTCTTTGAATGGTAGAGTAGATTGAATAAATGCTGTAAAAGTATTTTCAAGCTCACCTGCATAAACTAATGTTACCGAAGTTGTTGCATTAATTTGATTGTTCATGTTTCATGTTGGTTCACATCCTTGAATCTAAAAATACCACAGTTAGAGGTGTGATGATCTGTTGTTACGGACACACACAGACCTGTATGATCTATTCTGGTGTTCTGTGGCGAGACTAATGCTAATGTAAAATAAACCACTTGAAACAGCCCTAGCCGATGGCACAATACTGCAGGTTGAACTTGAGGCTTACACAGTGTTTGTGTGTGTTCAGTGTAAAGGTTCTGGGTGTGGTGAACAGTGAAGGGCTGCATGATCCCGGTCCAGTGCGTTGGCCTCTCGCTCTCTGTTTGCTGGCGGCCTGGGTGGTCATTTTTCTCTGCATGCTCAAGGGCATTCGCAGCTCCGGCAAGGTAAGATGTCGCAGTGCATCCAGTTGCCTTTTACCCCAGTAGGAAAGTAGCTGTACATTTCAGAGCAGAGGAGAATATATTCTACATGATACAAATAATTTCCCATCTTTCCTCTGATGTCAGGTGGTGTATGTGACTGCCACCTTCCCCTATTTAGTGCTGGTGGTCCTCATCATCAGAGGGGCCACCCTTGAGGGCTCCTTAAACGGTGTCGCCTTTTACCTCACCCCAAACTGGGTCAATTTGGCTGATGCACAGGTACCATCTACTAAACAATGCAATTTTTTTTAATCAATTCTACAGTTTTCAGTTTCCTTCAGCAGCTTCCTGTCATTGTAGGTGTGGAATGATGCTGCGTCGCAGATCTTTTATTCTTTGGGTATTGGTGTTGGTGGCCTCCTGTCAATGGCGTCTTACAATAAATTTGACAATAACGTCATCAGGTTTGGCTTTTTTTTTAACTTTTTTGGGAAAATAACTGTTTTTGCTTTTGGTCTCATGAAACTCATGAATTTTTTTTCCTGCAGGGATACTCTGATTATCACAATAGGGAACTGCGCTACCAGTTTTTTTGCTGGCTTTGCCATTTTCTCTATCCTGGGTCATATGGCTTGGAGGAAGGGAGTGCCCGTGGGTCAGGTGGCAGACACAGGTACAGCCTGTTTAGCCTGTTTTCTTCCTGTTCTGACATCCCGGATAGCTCAGCACACACCAGCCCTGTGATTTACAGTTACATAAAATGTTTTTAAATTCTTGCAGTTTCAAAGCCAATATATAGTTTGTTATTTTTCAAGAACACATGTCATTTGTATTGAACCTTTTAGGTCCTGGTCTGGCGTTTGTTGCCTACCCAGAAGCCCTTGCTCTTCTCCCTGGATCAGTGTTTTGGTCCATTCTATTTTTTCTCATGCTCTTTATGCTGGGAGTGGACACACTGGTAAGACCCTGCAGCGCATTCAGGTTTTTAAGTTTAACAGTTGTTCATTCACCACACACATACACTATCATTCAAAGGTTTGGGGTTGTTTTTGAAAGAAGTCTCGTATGTTCACCAAGGCTGCATTTATTTATTTGTAAACTAGTAATATTGTGAAATATCATTACAATTTAAAATGTAATTTATTTCTGTTACGGCAAAGCTGAACGTTCATGTCATTACTCCAGTCAACAGAAGTCTTTTGTAGCATTATACATGTCTTTTGTCACTTTTAATCAATTTACTGCATCCTGTCTAAAAAGTATTTCTTTTAAAAAAAATCGGAATCTAGGCAGACTAGGACCTGACATGCAGATCTGCCCATTTATTTCTTTAATCCACCCTGTGTCCGTTACAAAAATGGACATCACATGTCAGTCAGCCCCCTTTTTTTAACTTCTGGAGCATTTCACCTAGTTTAAAGCCTGCAGTCCATGAGATTGGACGTTTGTCATCCAATCAAATGCCAGTAAAGCTCTGCATGTAGTAATTATATTAAAAAAAACTCTACTGTACATGCTACATGCTTTTGAAGAGAAGCATGGCAGCACTTCACTCCAAACACAGAAGCAAGCAACATTTTGGTGTATTTTTTTGCCTTGGTGAACGACAGTGTTACCCCTTTCGTTTTTTTTCATTTTTGGCTGAAAAATTAAGTTTCTCCAATTTTCTCAAAACTCTGGATTATGATAGAGGGCTGTGAGACTTAGACCTGAGTGCAAAAATGGATGATCTAGACCCTTCCAGAGCTGAGATATCAAAATTCAAAATTTCGACCCGAAAAAAAACGACAGTGTTACCCCTTTCGTTTTTTTTTCGTTTTCGGGCGAAAAATTAAGTTTCTCCAATCTTCTCAAAACTCTGGATTATGATACAGGGCCACGAAACTTTGACCTGAGTGCAAAAATGGATGATCTAGACCCTTCCAGAGCTGAGATATCAAAATTCAAAATTTCGACCCGAAAAAAAAAACGACAGTGTTACCCCTTTCGCTTTTTTTCATTTTTGGGCGAAAAATTAAGTTTCTCCAATCTTCTCAAAACTCTGGATTATGATAGAGGGCTGTGAGACTTAGACCTGAGTGCAAAAATGGATGATCTAGACCCTTCCAGAGCTGAGATATCAAAATTCAAAATTTCGACCCGAAAAAAAAAACGACAGTGTTACCCCTTTCGTTTTTTTTCATTTTTGGGCGAAAAATTAAGTTTCTCCAATCTTCTCAAAACTCTGGATTCTGATAGAAGGCCGCGAGACTTTGACCTGAGTGCAAAAATGGAGGCTCTAGACCCTTCCAGAGCTGAGATATCAAAATTCAAAATTTCGACCCGAAAAAAAAACGACAGTGTTACCCCTTTCGTTTTTTTTTCATTTTGGGCGAAAAATTAAGTTTCTCCAATCTTCTCAAAACTCTGGATTATGATAGAGGGCTGTGAGACTTAGACCTGAGTGCAAAAATGGATGATCTAGACCCTTCCAGAGCTGAGATATCAAAATTCAAAATTTCGACCCGAAAAAAAAAGACAGTGTTACCCCTTTCGTTTTTTTTCATTTTTGGCGAAAAATTAAGTTTCTCCAATCTTCTCAAAACTCTGGATTCTGATAGAAGGCCGCAAGACTTTGACCTGAGTGCAAAAATGGAGGCTCTAGACCCTACCAGAGCTGAGATATCAAAATTCAAAATTTCGACCCGAAAAAAAAAACGACAGTGTTACCCCTTTCGTTTTTTTTCATTTTTGGGCGAAAAATTAAGTTTCTCCAATCTTCTCAAAACTCTGGATTATGATAGAGGGCTGTGAGACTTAGACCTGAGTGCAAAAATGGATGATCTAGACCCTTCCAGAGCTGAGATATCAAAATTCAAAATTTCGACCGGAAAAAAAAACGACAGTGTTACCCCTTTCGTTTTTTTCCATTTTCGGGCGAAAAATTAAGTTTCTCCAATCTTCTCAAAACTCTGGATTCTGATAGAGGGCCACGAGACTTTGACCTGAGTGCAAAAATGGAGGCTCTAGACCCTTCCAGAGCTGAGATATCGAAATTCAAAATTTCGACCCGAAAAAAAAAACGACAGTGTTACCCCTTTCGTTTTTTTTCATTTTTGGGCGAAAAATTAAGTTTCTCCAATCTTCTCAAAACTCTGGATTATGATAGAGGGCCACGAGACTTTGACCTGAGTGCAAAAATGGATGATCTAGACCCTTCCAGAGCTGAGATATCAAATTCAAAATTTCGACCCGAAAAAAAAAAACGACAGTGTTACCCCTTTCGTTTTTTTCATTTTTGGGCGAAAAATTAAGTTTCTCCAATCTTCTCAAAACTCTGGATTATGATAGAGGGCTGTGAGACTTAGACCTGAGTGCAAAAATGGATGATCTAGACCCTTCCAGAGCTGAGATATCAAAATTCAAAATTTCGACCCGAAAAAAAAAACGACAGTGTTACCCCTTTCGTTTTTTTCATTTTTGGGCGAAAAATTAAGTTTCTCCAATCTTCTCAAAACTCTGGATTCTGATAGAAGGCCGCGAGACTTTGACCTGAGTGCAAAAATGGAGGCTCTAGACCCTTCCAGAGCTGAGATATCAAAATTCAAAATTTCGACCCGAAAAAAAAACGACAGTGTTACCCCTTTCGTTTTTTTTCATTTTTGGGCGAAAAATTAAGTTTCTCCAATCTTCTCAAAACTCTGGATTCTGATAGAAGACCACGAGACTTTGACCTGAGTGCAAAAATGGAGGCTCTAGACCCTTCCAGAGCTGAGATATCAAAATTCAAAATTTCGACCCGAAAAAAAAAACGACAGTGTTACCCCTTTCGTTTTTTTTCATTTTTGGGCGAAAAATTAAGTTTCTCCAATCTTCTCAAAACTCTGGATTATGATAGAGGGCTGTGAGACTTAGACCTGAGTGCAAAAATGGATGATCTAGACCCTTCCAGAGCTGAGATATCAAAATTCAAAATTTCGACCCGAAAAAAAAACGACAGTGTTACCCCTTTCGTTTTTTTTCATTTTGGGCGAAAAATTAAGTTTCTCCAATCTTCTCAAAACTCTGGATTCTGATAGAAGGCCGTGAGACTTTGACCTGAGTGCAAAAATGGAGGCTCTAGACCCTTCCAGAGCTGAGATATCAAAATTCAAAATTTCGACCCGAAAAAAAACGACAGTGTTACCCCTTTCGTTTTTTTCATTTTTGGGCGAAAAATTAAGTTTCTCCAATCTTCTCAAAACTCTGGATTATGATAGAGGGCTGTGAGACTTAGACCTGAGTGCAAAAATGGATGATCTAGACCCTTCCAGAGCTGAGATATCAAAATTCAAAATTTCGACCCGAAAAAAAAACGACAGTGTTACCCCTTTCGTTTTTTTTCATTTTTGGGCGAAAAATTAAGTTTCTCCAATCTTCTCAAAACTCTGGATTATGATAGAGGGCTGTGAGACTTAGACCTGAGTGCAAAAATGGATGATCTAGACCCTTCCAGAGCTGAGATATCAAAATTCAAAATTTCGACCCGAAAAAAAAAACGACAGTGTTACCCCTTTCGTTTTTTTTCATTTTTGGGCGAAAAATTAAGTTTCTCCAATCTTCTCAAAACTCTGGATTCTGATAGAAGGCCACGAGACTTTGACCTGAGTGCAAAAATGGAGGCTCTAGACCCTTCCAGAGCTGAGATATCGAAATTCAAAATTTCGACCCGAAAAAAAAACGACAGTGTTACCCCTTTCGTTTTTTTTCATTTTTGGGCGAAAAATTAAGTTTCTCCAATCTTCTCAAAACTCTGGATTCTGATAGAGGGCCGCGAGACTTTGACCTGAGTGCAAAAATGGAGGCTCTAGACCCTTCCAGAGCTGAGATATCAAAATTCAAAATTTCGACCCGAAAAAAAAACGACAGTGTTACCCCTTTCGTTTTTTTTCATTTTTGGCGAAAAATTAAGTTTCTCCAATCTTCTCAAAACTCTGGATTATGATAGAGGGCTGTGAGACTTTGACCTGAGTGCAAAAATGGATGATCTAGACCCTTCCAGAGCTGAGATATCAAAATTCAAAATTTCGACCCGAAAAAAAAACGACAGTGTTACCCCTTTCGTTTTTTTTCATTTTTGGGCGAAAAATTAAGTTTCTCCAATCTTCTCAAAACTCTGGATTCTGATAGAAGGCCGTGAGACTTTGACCTGAGTGCAAAAATGGAGGCTCTAGACCCTTCCAGAGCTGAGATATCAAAATTCAAAATTTCGACCCGAAAAAAAAACGACAGTGTTACCCCTTTCGTTTTTTTTTCATTTTTGGCGAAAAATTAAGTTTCTCCAATCTTCTCAAAACTCTGGATTATGATAGAGGGCTGTGAGACTTTGACCTGAGTGCAAAAATGGATGATCTAGACCCTTCCAGAGCTGAGATATCAAAATTCAAAATTTCGACCCGAAAAAAAAAACGACAGTGTTACCCCTTTCGTTTTTTTTCATTTTTGGGCGAAAAATTAAGTTTCTCCAATCTTCTCAAAACTCTGGATTATGATAGAGGGCTGTGAGACTTTGACCTGAGTGCAAAAATGGATGATCTAGACCCTTCCAGAGCTGAGATATCAAAATTCAAAATTTCGACCCGAAAAAAAAACGACAGTGTTACCCCTTTCGTTTTTTTTCATTTTGGGCGAAAAATTAAGTTTCTCCAATCTTCTCAAAACTCTGGATTATGATAGAGGGCCGCGAGACTTTGACCTGAGTGCAAAAATGGAGGCTCTAGACCCTTCCAGAGCTGAGATATCAAATTTCAAAATTTCGACCCGAAAAAAAAACGACAGTGTTACCCCTTTCGTTTTTTTTCATTTTTGGGCGAAAAATTAAGTTTCTCCAATCTTCTCAAAACTCTGGATTCTGATAGAAGGCCGCGAGACTTTGACCTGAGTGCAAAAATGGAGGCTCTAGACCCTTCCAGAGCTGAGATATCAAAATTCAAAATTTCGACCCGAAAAAAAAATGACAGTGTTACCCCTTTTCGTTTTTTTTTCATTTTTGGCGAAAAATTAAGTTTCTCCAATCTTCTCAAAACTCTGGATTATGATAGAGGGCTGTGAGACTTAGACCTGAGTGCAAAAATGGATGATCTAGACCCTTCCAGAGCTGAGATATCAAAATTCAAAATTTCGACCCGAAAAAAAAAAGACAGTGTTACCCCTTTCGTTTTTTTTCATTTTTGGCGAAAAATTAAGTTTCTCCAATCTTCTCAAAACTCTGGATTCTGATAGAAGGCCGCGAGACTTTGACCTGAGTGCAAAAATGGAGGCTCTAGACCCTTCCAGAGCTGAGATATCAAATTCAAAATTTCGACCCGAAAAAAAAACGACAGTGTTACCCCTTTCGTTTTTTTTTCATTTTTGGGCGAAAAATTAAGTTTCTCCAATCTTCTCAAAACTCTGGATTCTGATAGAAGGCCGTGAGACTTTGACCTGAGTGCAAAAATGGAGGCTCTAGACCCTTCCAGAGCTGAGATATCAAAATTCAAAATTTCGACCCGAAAAAAAACGACAGTGTTACCCCTTTCGTTTTTTTTTCATTTTTGGCGAAAAATTAAGTTTCTCCAATCTTCTCAAAACTCTGGATTATGATAGAGGGCTGTGAGACTTTGACCTGAGTGCAAAAATGGATGATCTAGACCCTTCCAGAGCTGAGATATCAAAATTCAAAATTTCGACCCGAAAAAAAAAGACAGTGTTACCCCTTTCGTTTTTTTTCATTTTTGGCGAAAAATTAAGTTTCTCCAATCTTCTCAAAACTCTGGATTCTGATAGAAGGCCGCAAGACTTTGACCTGAGTGCAAAAATGGAGGCTCTAGACCCTACTAGAGCTGAGATATCAAAATTCAAAATTTCGACCCGAAAAAAAACGACAGTGTTACCCCTTTCGTTTTTTTTCATTTTTGGGCGAAAAATTAAGTTTCTCCAATCTTCTCAAAACTCTGGATTATGATAGAGGGCTGTGAGACTTAGACCTGAGTGCAAAAATGGATGATCTAGACCCTTCCAGAGCTGAGATATCAAAATTCAAAATTTCGACCCGAAAAAAAAAACGACAGTGTTACCCCTTTCGTTTTTTTTCATTTTTGGGCGAAAAATTAAGTTTCTCCAATCTTCTCAAAACTCTGGATTCTGATAGAAGGCCGCGAGACTTTGACCTGAGTGCAAAAATGGAGGCTCTAGACCCTTCCAGAGCTGAGATATCAAAATTCAAAATTTCGACCCGAAAAAAAAAACGACAGTGTTACCCCTTTCGTTTTTTTTCATTTTTGGGCGAAAAATTAAGTTTCTCCAATCTTCTCAAAACTCTGGATTCTGATAGAGGGCTGTGAGACTTAGACCTGAGTGCAAAAATGGATGATCTAGACCCTTCCAGAGCTGAGATATCAAAATTCAAAATTTCGACCCGAAAAAAAAACGACAGTGTTACCCCTTTCGTTTTTTTTCATTTTTGGGCGAAAAATTAAGTTTCTCCAATCTTCTCAAAACTCTGGATTCTGATAGAGGGCTGTGAGACTTAGACCTGAGTGCAAAAATGGATGATCTAGACCCTTCCAGAGCTGAGATATCAAAATTCAAAATTTCGACCCGAAAAAAAAACGACAGTGTTACCCCTTTCGTTTTTTTTCATTTTTGGGCGAAAAATTAAGTTTCTCCAATCTTCTCAAAACTCTGGATTATGATAGAGGGCCACGAAACTTTGACCTGAGTGCAAAAATGGATGATCTAGACCCTTCCAGAGCTGAGATATCAAAATTCAAAATTTCGACCAGAAAAAAAAACGACAGTGTTACCCCTTTCGTTTTTTTCCATTTTCGGGCGAAAAATTAAGTTTCTCCAATCTTCTCAAAACTCTGGATTCTGAAAGAAGACCACGAGACTTTGACCTGAGTGCAAAAATGGAGGCTCTAGACCCTTCCAAAGCTGAGATATCAAAATTCAAAATTTCGACCCGAAAAAAAAACGACAGTGTTACCCCTTTCGTTTTTTTTCATTTTTGGCTGAAAAATTAAGTTTCTCCAATCTTCTCAAAACTCTGGATTATGATAGAGGGCTGTGAGACTTAGACTTGAGTGCAAAAATGGATGATCTAGACCCTTCCAGAGCTGAGATATCAAAATTCAAAATTTCGACCCGAAAAAAAAACGACAGTGTTACCCCTTTCGTTTTTTTTCATTTTTGGGCGAAAAATTAAGTTTCTCCAATCTTCTCAAAACTCTGGATTCTGATAGAAGGCCGCGAGACTTTGACCTGAGTGCAAAAATGGAGGCTCTAGACCCTTCCAGAGCTGAGATATCAAAATTCAAAATTTCGACCCGAAAAAAAAACGACAGTGTTACCCCTTTCGTTTTTTTTTCATTTTTGGGCGAAAAATTAAGTTTCTCCAATCTTCTCAAAACTCTGGATTCTGATAGAGGGCTGTGAGACTTAGACCTGAGTGCAAAAATGGATGATCTAGACCCTTCCAGAGCTGAGATATCAAAATTCAAAATTTCGACCCGAAAAAAAAAAAACGACAGTGTTACCCCTTTCATTTTTTTTTCATTTTTGGGCGAAAAATTAAGTTTCTCCAATCTTCTCAAAACTCTGGATTCTGATAGAGGGCCATGAGACTTTGACCTGAGTGCAAAAATGGAGACTCTAGACCCTTCCTGAGCTGAGATATTGAGATATTTATAATGGCATAAATGCTACATGGGATGTCCATCTCAGCTCTGGAAGGGTCTAGAACCTCCATTTTTGCACTCAGGTCTAAGTCCCATGGCCCTCTATCAGAATCCAGAGTTTCAAGAAGATTGGAGAAACTTATTTTTTCGGACCAAAAAAAAACGAAAGGGGTACCACTGTACCACTGGACTCAGAATCCAGAGTTTCAAGAAGAATATATTTAGTTTGTCACAAGCAATGTGCAATCTGTAAAACAAAAACCTCAAAATTATAGTTGAAATGGTATACTGCTGGATTTTTTTTGACCTTGAGAAAAAGCTTAAAGTATAGACCAACAAATTTTATGTTTATTAATTTATTTCATGTTGGTAAATTTTTGGAAAGTACATCTGTTTTGACCTGATGTCCATTGGAATGGACAAAAAAATCACAATGAAAGCAATTATATATGTTTTCATTTATAGAAACCTCATGAGCTGGGAAAATGTACTTTTATATTTTTCAGAAACTTGAAACATAATTCAGGTCTGAGGGGGTTAAAAAGGAAAGAATTATCCATATTAAATGACTGGAAAGGCCATGGGAACCTGATTGGTCCAAAAGTGTGAGAACTCCAAGTGATCGGGTTTCAGTGCTTCTCGATTCGAAATGTTATTGTAGGAAACATCAGTATTCAGGAAGCAGATTTGTCAAGAGATGTGTGAAATAACAGTGTAACATCCTGTCTTCATGCACATTTACTGAAATGAGTGTTGTAGCTCAGGGATGGGATGTGCAGTAACACAGCGGTGTTCCTTCCTCTGTCTTCCCCTGAAAGCCCTGTCTGTCTTTCAGTGTCACTAAGTTCAGTTTCAGAGTATCTTATTGCTTTATATATACAACAAATATAGCTTGAATATACTGCGGTTTGAAATGAGCACAAACAGACGATGGTGAATGATGGCACACAGCAGTCCTTGTGTTGCCCTAACAGCAAACCCGAGGATCTGTTTAATTTTGTTAATGTAGATGTCAGGGAAACTTATGTCATGTTTGTATACTCCAGACAGGTTAAGAGAGGACACTGTCCTTTGTTTAATTTGTTGCTATTGTGACGTTCTCTCTCTGTGTCCTGTAGTTTGGTAACATGGAGGGCATCTGTACAGCAGTGATGGATGAGTTTCCGCAGCTCAGATCCAATCTGAAGCACAAGACGCTGTTCCTGGCGCTGCTCTGTTTCGCCTTCTATCTGATGGGCCTGCTGCTTATCACTGATGTAAGAGGAACAAACAAACCAATATTATTTTTATAAACACAAGTGTATGGGTACCCAAAGTTTAGTTATGCTTCTGAAATGTTTAATATCATAGCTTGTCCATCTTCATGTTGTTCATTTGGCATCCTCTTCATGCTATTACTGTTTTTGTGGTCTCATATTTTCATTTTGTCCTGTGTTTTTTCATCACAGGGTGGGATATACTGGTTCACGCTCATAGACTCCTTCAGCACTAGCTTTGGTCTCATCATCATTACTCTCTTCATGTGCATTGGCATCTCATTCTTCTATGGTACACCCTCTTTCATTTTTTCATGTAGTAGTTTAAGGGGGTGTTCACACTTGGCAAACACAAACCAAAAACAAACCAAACAAGCGGACCGAGATCACTGAAAAAGTGAAATATGAACGCAACATGGACCAATGACATCCAAACGAACCAAAAACTGGACATGATGTCTATGAGACCCTAAAAAGGCCAGAATGCTCAAGCATACCTACATTTTATCGTGATGTGAGCTACGTTGCACATTACAGTTGGGTGTAGGTGTTGAAAATGTTGTCTTGCAGCAGATCTTCATTTATGGGCAACCGAGAAATTCCTGGTACTGTTTTGACTCTTTTTCACATTTTATAAACTCTTCATGAGCTCTAAGCTGGTAGACGTAACATCACATACAACGAGCAAGTTTAGCCCAAAACACCGCATTGTTTTCAGTGTTCTGTCATAAAATACATATTCATCATAATAGACGTTTTATTGTTTTGTATCTTTAGGTTCGGGCTTAAAAAATACAGTGCAAATCTGGACTAAATGTATAATTTTATTTTTTTTATTTAGACCAAAAGAACCAAGAGAACCGAACTACAAGTGTGAAATAACTGAAAAGCACCTGCAGTCAGATTAGAAAGCATCTTTTTGGGTTTTTATCAGTCCACAGGAAGCAAAATTAATGGTTTAAAGGAACAGTATCAGGTTGATATTGTTGGTGCCTGTGAGGAAGAACACAACACACATATTCACATCTGATGCACTTCTGCTTTGAGTTACATGAAAGTTCTCTAATTTTGACAGCATGACCATTTAAGGCCAATATTGTTTCAATAGAGCTTAATAGAAAAAAAACGACATTTTCTTGTAGTAATTTTACATTTATTGGTTTGCTTAAGTGTCTGCTAAATAATAATCAACCTCTCTGTCACATGTTCCTTCACGTCATGTGACTGCATTCTGAGATCTGTTATATTTGCATATGCTGATGTAATTGCAGGGGTGAACCAGTTCTGTCAGGACATTGTGGACATGATCTGTCACTGCCCGCCCTGGTGCACAAAACTGCTGTGGTACTTTAAAGCCTGCTGGGTGGTTTTCACTCCCTTCCTGCTAACAGTGAGTGTCCTGTTGATTTTTTGGAATCAGCCTCATCTTTTAAAATGTTTCTATTTATGATGAACAGTTATGTAATTGTGAAATAATGTAATATGGAAATGTTCATCAGACTTTCAAGGGTCAGAACAGAATTGTGTTACGGGTAGAAAGTTGCCTCCGCAGCAAAGTGTGGAACCAAACACTATCGCTGGCCTGTGTAATGAATAATTCAGAGTTGCTGGGTCACTGACAGTGATGGTTCCCATTCACAGAGGCATTGTGTTTTTATATTCAGAATGCTAAGCGATTGTTTTGTTTGTGCAGTTCATCCTGACCTACATTTTCATCGAGATGTACCGTACGTCTCTGACCTACGGCTCGTACGTGTTTCCGATCTGGGGCAAAGCGCTGGGCGTGTGTATGGGTGCCTTCTGCTGTCTGCAGATTCTCATCTGGGCCATTGTGGCTGTCTGTAAAGAGTCTGGCACACTTAAAGATGTAAGTCCCTCCAAATCACCATGTATATAAACACTTTTATTCCGCAAGGATGCTTTTAACTAATCAAGTGACGGTAAAAACATGTATAATGTTATAATACATGTTGATTTCAAATGACAATTATTTAAATTAATACATTTTAAATGAACATAAATAAATTAGTTTCAAATGTTATTTAAAGTGTCCCTATTATGCTTTTTTGGATATATCTTTTTGTGTCGTTTGTAATATAGCCGTTTGTGAATGTAAAATGTCTGCAAAGATCAAAGTGCACTATAAATAATCGATTCTGAACTGCCTGAAACGAGTCGTCAGCAATTCCAATTACTGCACAAACCTATGTAGGCCTGTAACAAATTAGCATGAATGCCAGCCGATTGGTCTTCACTGGATACCTGCAAATAGTGTCTACTTTGACCCACCTTTAAACACTGTATTTGTAGCTGAGGTCTGGAAGAGTCTGGTCGACATGTCCTCACTCAAAGGAAAGGCACTTCCAAAGGATGAGGTCTCAAGCGGGAATTGAAATGGTTAAAACGGACACCATCGTTACTGTTCATATATGACTTTCTATACAAGCCCAGAGGAAACCTCAGTAATGGGCGGTAATGGGCATTTTGTTTCTGACGACAGACCAATCACAACAGACTGGGCCATCTGACCAATCAGAGCAGAGTAGTTCTCGGAAAGGTGGGGTGTTAAAGAGACTGAATCCTTTATCGAACCGTTTCAGACACTGAGAATGGCATAATAGGGCATTTTAATTTTTCAATAAACTTTGCATGTGTTAATTTTGACCTATGTTTCTTACATTCAGCGCTTTAAGAAATCCATCCGTCCCCTCAACTCCTGGCGCGTTAACAACATAAACACGGCCTCACAGGAGCAGCACGTGGAGCCCCAGAGAATAGAGGGACCCTTCACGGTTAACCTGACTGACGAAGATTTCACCGCCATGAACTGGGAGGCCATAAGCGAGGCGTAACACTGCCCCAAGTGTTAGGAGGCTGAACTGCACCCTCTCAAAATGACACGTACTGGTGAGGACTTCTGTCTAGAGACGAGTTCCCCTGGACTGAAAGGATGCTACCGACTTGTAGGACATTTATTAGTTTAATTTATGATGATGTTGCTCATTTGAAATAGCACTGGGCCGAAGCCAGAGACTGAGAAACGGAAAAGACATTTGGTATCTCTGGTTGAATACTTGATGTCTTAATGATTCCATTTCATGCCATTCACCTCGTCTTTTCATCAAAGAGTTTAAAGACTTATTTTATAAGGTAACAGACTGAGTAGTCGTGATACAGTGAAATTTACATTATATACAAGAACCAGGTCAAATACAAAAAATACAAAGACAATGCCTTTAAGAGATCTACAGCAAAACTGAACATATTATTTAAAATAACTGTTCTCAAGAAAAGAAAATGTAGTCCAAGAGGCATTGTAAACTCTCTTTAGAATGTTTAAATGTACAAAATAATTACCATTTTTATAACTTTTTGAAATGCCACACATACAGCAAATAAAATCAAAATGTTTTCATAATTTGTTCTCAGCAAAAGCTGTTTTATCTGTTGACCAAGGGCAGATTCAGCTCATTTCAGTGCTCTTCCTTATGACAGAGGAGGCTCTGAAACTGGTTTGTTTATTCAGAGCACCATGGGAACAGTAGTAAACCTGCTCTTGTTGGGACTTTGTTGTGCTGGACACTAACTCATTGAGCTGTCTGGATTTAGATGTTTTCTCTCAGAGTACACGAATACCTGCCTTTTAATGTTCTGCTCCATTACAGTACATGCAAACAAACCTTCAGGATTTATTACAGTAAATACACAGAAGAAATATGAATCAAGTTCACTGGTTTTCAGCTTACCCCGGATGAACAATTCAAGAATTGTGGGGATATATATACACTGAATGTGCTGAGTTGGGTCTGCATACTGCGTTGGCGTATATTTCATTGTGGTTTTTTGCGAACAATTAGGGCTTAGCTACTTCCTGCGATGGTTTCAAAAAGACGTTTGCAGGTTTATCACCAGATCCATGACGCAAAGAGGTTTTAAAAAAATGCAATGCTGAGGAAGTTACTCTAGAAAACATATTCAGCTCTGAGAACCGTCATTGTTTTTTGTTTTTTATTATTCTGGAAGGTATTTTCTGCTAATTTAAGAAAAAAAAGTCACTTTAATGTTTATAAAAGTACACTACACAAAGTGAATAATTTTTTTTTCTTAAAGAAATCTCACTGACACCAAACTTTTGAATGGTAGTTAATTAATTAGTTAATAAAAAGTATTAATTTTAGATTTCATTTAGATTTTTTGATAATAAATTGTCCCTGTAAATTTAGAAAAAGTGCAATTAATAATTTGACCTTTCACTTTTACAAAGTCTGCCAAAATTAAATCAGTCAAAGTGAAAAAGAAATACCTAATAATAGTGACAAATGTATTTTAAAGTGTAAAGTTTTGTGTTCTAGTGTCAAGAAAAGAAACTCAGTGTATATTAGCACTCAACTTTTAATTTGCAAAGCCTCCCTTTGTATATCTTGTTTTATTATTTCACCAGTATGAAATGCATGAATGAAGTTAAAGGCATGTAGTTACATGCTGGCCATCAGAAACAGAGACGAGAACTACAGTACATATCTCTGACTCGCATGAAATGACATTCGGCAATGCTTAAAATGAAAGGCACAGATCTCCTCCATGAGGACGTAACAAAGTTTAAAAAACATTTTAGTAACAAGATATATTCAGCCTCACATCCGTCAGTCAGTACATACTTGTACTGTGTCATGGTCTGCTTTTTTTCAGCAAATGGTAATATTTATAGCCAATCTTTACATTTGTTAACACAATGTTGAGCTGCACTTGGAAAAAAGGAAATAGTACAAGCAAATCCTATGTAAAACAGGATAGTGGGCTGAGGCTGAAAGTCCTGTCATGCACTTCGGCGTTTGTTTTGAGAGTGAAAGCTCAAGCTCACGCTAACTACACTTAAAAACTTAGAAACTCGCACCAAAAATGGACATTACCATCTAGTGCCCTTATTTGTTGAAGTAAATAAATAAATGTACAGTGATTTCACACCTGTTCCCAACAAATAACTCTTCCTGTTGCCGTTGGTCAAAACAATTACTGTATAAATCAAAAATTCCACATAAATGACGTTCTTCGAGATTAGAAAGTACCATTGTGCGGGTCTTAATCCTTTTATATTTTGACATGTTCCCAAAACTGTTATTTCTTTGGCCTTCTGAAGATTTTGGTAAAGGTGTGTTTCTTACGGTTCGTGCTGGAACCTTCAGTGTCTTCTCCGTTGGAGCAACTGTCCTCGTCCAACAGGTTCTTCTTCCCTGCGATGTGAGAGATTCGGCTGGATCCCTTTCCCGATGGTGATGACGGGCCGTCCTGCTCGGAGGTGTAGTTGAGAGAGCGCATGGAGTTGGCTGAGGCGAGGCTAGACGAGTGGATCTCTCCGAGACTGGCACATTTCTCCATCCCAAAGGTCTTTTTCTGCAGCAGAAGGCTGTCGGTGGAGGAGCCACCGTTGGATCTGGACTGCTTACTGTAGAGTGGAGTTGAGGAGCAGCGCTGGGCGTCTCCGCAATGAGACATGGAGAGGGAGGAATCCGATTCAGACCGGTTCAGATCCCTAGATGATGGTACAATAAGAGAAGAGGATGTCAGAATCTACTCATTTACTTTCCTTCGGTCTGCTAGTTTCAATTTTTGAACTTGGTCAACATGCAAAGGCAGTCGCTATCCATTTACTTGTACTTCGATGACTTAAAACGATTAGATCCCCGATTAGTTATCCATTCAGAATGCAGCCAAATCTCAATTCAATTTGCAATGGACTGTGAGATACTACTTATACCCGAATATGTCTTCATATTTAAGTTTAGAAATGTGAAGACATTTTTCCCCACTGGAAGGATGTCCATAGGAACGTTTTATTAAGAAAGTAAATGAGTGAATTCTGATTAAAAGTCTGATTGACTTTTGACTTTAAATAACAAAGAGGTGCATGCTGGATTAATTTGGTTTCTATAGACCATTTCACAAGATGTAAACAAGACACTTCCTGTTTCAGTTTGTAACCGTTTTCTTTATTTCACATGTAAAGAAAACATCTTAAAGATGTTTGTTGAACTTTTTGATTCAGTTTTAAATGTTCTGTTGGTTGTATTTTATCCCAGCTTTTATGTGGTGTTAAAAAACTGAAACAGGAAGTGCTTCTGGACCAGTGTTGTTTACATCTTGTGAAATGGTCTATAGTTAAAAACAAATGAGCTAAATCAAAAAGAAAAGTGGAATCATAATATAATTCAATCTATTATAGCCTAATATAGAATTGATATTCATTACTATTTAGCGTGAAAATTAATGGATAAGTTTAAAAATAACTTTGTTAGCAGTCAGTTTTTTAGATTTCAGTTCTTAATTTAGTATTTATTAATTCATAACAGGGAGGTTTTGGACACCCTACACACATGCCGTGTGTGTTTGTGGTACCCGATGCTTTCAGTTCCCTGATCGCTGCATGAACCGGTGAACCCTGTTGGCGGCAGACCTGAGACGGCCTCCACTGATGTGAAGTGTGAGGAACGGTACTGAAGCGCAGCAAAGCGCGAGGAAGAGACGATGGAGGGATGAGACAGAGAGGAAGAGAGTGAAGGCACAGGGAGAAACTCTGCGTGACCAATGGAGTGGCTGCGAGTCTGACGCACATAAGGTCGGCCGAGGGGCCGGAGGGGCCCAGATTCACTCAAACCGCCCTCTACCAACCTCTGTGAGCTCAGGTTCAGTGTGGGGTCTCCGTGACGGGGCCGCAGGGACACCAGGCTGGGAGCTGAGGAGAGGCACACACACAGATGTTTGTCATTCAAATCATCCAGTCTCTGTGAGATACTGAATGCACATGGGAGAAATAATCGAACCGTTAAATAACCCATATTGGGGTCTTAAAACTGTACTGTAGTGTACACCGAGTTCTTAAAAGCTTAGCTTAAAGGGACAGTTCACCCAAAAATTGAAATTCTGTCATAATTTACTCACCCTCATTTTGATCCAAACCTGTAAGACTTTCATTCATCTTCCGAAGACAAATGAAGATATTTTTTAATGCAATCTGAAAGATTTCTGTCCCTCCATTAACAGCTACACAAATGACCTTTTGACGATTATCGCCCAAGTAATCCATATAAATTAAATGGTTCAGTAAAATATTTCCGAAGAGACTTGATTTATACTTTATATTAAATTAGTCTTTTATTTACATTTAAACATTGATCAGTGGACATAAACAGAAGCTCAGCTGAACCTGCAAGATGCGAGAGAACAAACCTCATTGGCTCTTGTTGAAGTTTAAACGTGCCGCATGACATGAGAACGAACCTCATTGGTTCTTGTTGAAGCTCAAACATGCAGTGTAACACGAGAACGAACCTCACTGGTTCTTGTTGAAGTTTAAACGTGCTGCTTAACGTGAAAATGAACCTCAATGGTTCTCGCACATCATGAAAACATGCTTAAGTTTCCGTTCACCTCAACTGATGCGTGATTTGATGGAAGTTTATATGTGAATAAAAGCCTAAATTCAATCTGTTCATCATATAACGCGATCTTTTCCCAAAAAAAATTGGACTCAATTCATATGGATTCGTTTTATGAACTTTTTAAAGTGTCAAAGTGGTAGTCACGCAGCTGTAAATGGAGGCGGTCAGATTTTATAAAAAATACTTACACAAAGATAAACGAAAGTCTTATGGGTTTGGAATGACGAGGATGAGTAATTGATGAAAGAATATTTGGGTGAACTAACCCTTTAAAGGTGTGCTATAATCTATGTGTTATAGTTATGCGCTATAAGGCTCAAAAACAGCTGTTGAGATAGTATTCTCACTTGGAATGGAGGCTTGGCGCTGGAAACAGTATTCAATACGTCATGACAACTAGATGATTATATGCGGAACAACTAAGCTATAGTCCTAAATGATATCTGGTATAATGAGATATTGTGCCATGATGTTGAAGAAGGGGAACTTGAGAACATACATGTAGGTACCATCACATCAGTCTTTGATCAAAATACAAACACTTAACACAAACACATGACTGAGACACATTTTAAAAAGTTCCAGCTGGAAGGAGCATGCGTGATGATGATGATGATTGACCACATTAATTGTGCTTAATGAAGGAAAACAGAGCTGCTAATGTGGCAAAGGAAGTGAACATAAAAGTGTGAAAGCATTGCAAGGCCGCAGTGCAAAGAAGATCAGTGTCCACAAAAAATGTACGATGACGAGTTTCCAGCCTACACCAAAATACTGCAGAGAAGCAGCTCTCGGTTAGTTGTATAAATCATGGAAACGTTTGAGATGGATAATGACCGTCTGCTTATTACACGGCTACTTAACGAATAAATGGACTTGAAATATTGTTTGGAGTCTAAATATTTTTTCAGAAGACCATAGAGTGTTTTGAAAGACATGAAATGAACAAAGCAAGTAGGATGCTGGGTCTCATTCACCAATAATGAGTGGATTATTTACATTTACACAGAAGTTTTTACAAAAAAATGTATGTCTAATCCACAACAAGTGTGATAAATTTAGAGTATTCTAATAAACGACTACATGATTTTGATCAATCATGATTTATTCATGAAAATGTTCATCTGCAGATTTCATGCACAAATATGCACCCATACTAGGTTAGTGAATGAGACCCATTGTCTGCTTGCGACAACAGCCAATATAGTTTAACAGACAATTTTAAAAATGTACATGCGCAGAATATAGCCATCGTCCAATCAGAATATTCCAAAAAGCCGTCTAATAAGTATAAATATAGGCTTTGCACTCTGCGCTTAACACTGGGTTACCATCTTTCTTTTAACCCTAGATTAAGGACAGATTCTAACTTTAGTTTAACAAAAAGGTGGGGTTGTAAAAAATTGGTTTTTAACCCCAAGTTAGCCTTTGCAATGCTGACTTTAAGCTGCTGCGTTAAATTGTATCATTGAACAAATGTTAGAAA